TCCCTTTGTCTCCGGGCTCGAGGGAGGCGGGTGCTCCTGCGTCCTCGGCCACCCAGGCTCACGTTTCATCCCCGCTGGTGGCACCGACGTGGGGCAGGGGGCGGAGGTCGCCCGACTCCTCCCCAGCTTGCAGCTCTTCCTTCTCTGGAACTTTTTCCAATCCTCCCCTCTGGATGCTGCTGGGGCGTTCAGCTAGGTTCTGCTCCAACTCCGGCCTCCTCCACACCCCATTCCCGGTTTAGTGTCTCCCTTTCTAAGCAATGGATGAAAAACTTCCTTTTTATCTTTAAACAAATAGAGATTCTCAGGGTTGAAGGTAATTGGACAGAGAAGGACAGCGAAGAAAGGCCAGGAGAGCTGGAAAGCGCTCAGGCTGAATGGTGACTACTGACAACTGATAAAATGTTGGTTAGCTGTGAAAGCATTTCCAGTAAAGCCAGGGAAAACCACAAAACAATGCACACTGTCCTCACAGTTGTTTAGTGACTGGCCTATGCAATTAGATAAGAGAAAGTAAAAAGATTTATAAAATTGTGAGCAAATTATCATTTGCAAAAATGATGCTTTTATGTGTGGAAAATCAGACCTCAATTCTAAAGCTCTTGTCTAAAATGTCAATAGCTGTTTTTTTTCCCCCCAGCAAAGATAAATCGGTTAGAAAAAACTCAGGGCTATACAGAGTGGGAAACAAAAAGAAAGGAATAAAATTCAACATCTCAGAGACAACATCTAAATTAGTCTCTAAATTTGAGAATGAACATGATATGAGTAAAAATACGAACATGAAGTATGTTTTTAGAACAATCAGAATCTAACGTTTTGGTGAAAAGAAAACAAGAATATCTGTTTTTAAACAAAGCAATAATGGTTTTAACTTCAACAGATAGTGCATATAACATTATAATCATTAAAACGGTTTGGATCAACAGTGGAATAAATAAGCTCACTGGAAAAGAATAAAGAACCTAAAAGTAGACATAGCTTTGCACAGCAATGTAATTTATGATAAAAAATCATTTTGATATCAGGAAAATGGTGAATTTGGGTGTCTGTGGAAACTTATCTTCTTCCATCAAAATCAACTTCATATGAATTAAATATATGAGCTTAACGATGCAATTATGAAAATGTTTGCTAAAAGAATTAGAGATAATATTAAAATAATTATGGAATAAGAAATTATTTTCCTAAGCATTAAAAATACCTCAGAAACCATAAAAGATTGATCAATTGAATTAAATTAGATTAAAACTTTCTGTATGTTGTATGTTAAACATTTATTGGTAAAAATATTTGCAATGCATAGGATAAACAGGCCTAATCATCTACTATTTAAAGACCTTAACAATTAGTAAGAAAAAAAGAAACAGTATGAAAAGGAAAAATAATATTATAAAACACTTCATTAAAATTGTAAACTGTATATGTGTGAACAGGTAGATAAAACTGACAAAGTCATGGGACTTTATTCTTAATACTACATTAGAATGTATGCATTTTAATTTATATTTACCTCATGTTGATTATTAAAAAGTCAAGGATAACACATAGATGGAAGATAAAAGGGCATTAACATTTTTAAAAAGTATTTTTTGGATGGTGGAATTCTGATTATTTCATAAGTTTCCTGAATTAGACCCATGCAATTTTTAAAATAAAAATAAGTGCCACTTTTAAAAAGATGGCATGTTAAGCTGGTGTGATGGCACACACCTGTAATCCCAGCACTTGGGAGGCTGAGGCAGGAGGATCGCTGTGAGTTCGAGACCAGCCTGACCTGCATAGTTCCAGGTCAGTCTCAACTATGTAGTGAGACCCTGTCTCAACCCCACCCCCCAAAAAAGATGGCATGTTTAATTTTAGCAACATTATTCCATCATTAAACTCAAGTTTGTGGAGACTACTTGAATGTAGGTAAATGCTCAGGATCAAAACTGCATTACTTTCAGATCCTAACAGTGAATACATATAACCTTCTTTATTATTTTTGCTTTTCAAATACGTATTATAGATGTATTGTTTCATAATAATAAATTGTCCTAAACATAAGGTCTTTTACTTTGAGTATGCCAGTTAAAGTAGATCTTTCCTATGTGAATGCTTTTAAATGCATTTGAAGATGGAATGACTTCATCTCTGGAGATATTTTAATTCCAGCCAGAGTTTTGAGATTTTAAGATGCATGTTCATCAATGACCATTTATTAGTGTATTGTGTATAAATTGACACTGTGCTTGTGTTGTATGTATGCCTCTGGATCATATGTGTATCTATGTTGTAAATGATTAAACATCAAAATGCCATGGATCAAATAAATATGATAGAGGAGAGTTTTGACCTATTGTTGTATTTAGCAACAAAAAATTAGAATAAGGCAGGACTTTAAGGATTGTCTAGGTCAGTTTTCTAGGTTCATAGATAGGAAAACTAAGGTCAAATTTCCAAATAGGTGAGAGGCAGGCAAGATCTTATGTGGAGAGGTAGCATATCAGAGTTTTCAGTGTTATGCTAGACTGCCTAAATTTGATGATAATCCCCTTTGAATTCTCCTGACTCACAATCCTCTCTTCAAATAATTTATTTCTCTATGCAGTCAAACAGGCCCATATAACTTATTACAATTAGCTACATGTTGATAAATACCAAGAAAATATTTTGTGTATATGTAGGGTCTCCCTTTGTGTCTCTGTTCCTTCACTGTTATTAGATGTTATGGATGCCCTGAAAACAAAGTGCTCACACAGACAGAAACATAAATTCAGAACACTGCAAGAACAAACAGGGAGAAGAAAAAAGGAGAGGGCTGTAAAAAAAATACTTAATGTTCATTATCCACCTAGATCATTTCTAAGTTCTTTAAACTTATGATTTAAGTAATAATAAGTTAACACTCTTCACTTCCCAGTAAGATGGATACTGTTATTACCATTCCTGTTGTGAGCAAAATCACTGAGACATAGTGGGAAGTAATTTTGCCCAAGGTTGCACAGCTGCAAAGAATCCAATAATGTACCAATAAACTCAATTAAAAAAAAAAGAATGTAGCAATTCCACCGTTCATCATTGAATCTGAACTCTCAAGACTTGTTTGGCTTTGGTGAGATATAAGATTCTCAGCCTGGTTATTAAAAAATGGAGGTGACATGCTTGCCAATGACCTATCACAGCAGCACTTATTTCAGTGAGCATCAGCAAAGATTTATGAGGCCTTCTTCTTGTAAGGCCTAGGATCAAGTGTGAAAATATATGAGCAAATGATATTTAATGTTTCTTAAAAAATTAGTTTGATAGAAGGACCAAGTACTGTAGATTCAAGGTTTTTCTTGTACAATTTTGTGTGGCACAATACTAATCTACAATTAGCAATAATTTTAAAATTACAGTTTGAATTACAGTCATCTTCATTTGTGTATTATCTCAATTATTCTAAAAATCATATGACATGTTATATTATTATTATTATTATGGTGATGTTATTATATCTTAGAAGTATGGATCTGTAAGTTTAATGTGCATCAGAGTCACCCGTAGGCTGGATTAACCTAGAAATCACTGAGGCTGCCCCTAATTCACGATGTCAGGGGTGCACCTGGAAATTTGCTTTCCTGCCGAGTTCCCTTGCTACTGCCTGAATTCCATGAGAACCAATGCTTTAGAAAATTCTACTGCAGGGAATATTTCCCTTTACATTTAGCTATTGCTAAGAGAAAGAGGCAAGTGTTTAAAATTTTTAAATTGACACATAATAATTATATACATTTATGTGGTACACTGAGGTTTTGACACAGGTATGTAACGTAATGATCACCTTCCTTACCCTCCCTAGCCATTGTTAACTATTTTTTACTTCTATGAACAATTCTTTTAGATTCCACATATAAGGGTGCTCAGGAGATATTCGTCTTCATGTGCCTGACTTACTTCATTTAACATAATGTCCCCTGGGTTGATCTTTGTTGCTGTAAATAGGAAAATGTCACCATATTGTATGGCCAAATATAAACTGCAATAATAATATTTCACTGTGTGTATCGTGTCACATTTTCTTGATACATTTATTCATTGCTGGGTGGTTAGCTTGACTCCATATCTTGGTCATTATGAATAGTGCTGCAATCCACATGAGGATGCAGCTATCAAGAGGAATCAAGTTTGACTCGAGAGTTTTGTTTTTAGGTGTCAATGTCTATTTTTATTTTGTATTTACACATATGCATTCTTTTTATTTCATTTAAGAGTATGTCCTTAATATGCATCCATTTTCCTATAAATGACTCTAGTTTCTAATTCTTTATGGCTGAATAGTATTCCATTTTATTTTATATCTTCTTTATCCAGTCTCCAATTGCCATTGGACTATTTCCAAGTTTTACCTATTACAAACTGTGCCGCTCTAAACGTAGGTGTGCATATATCATTGTGATATAAGTCTTTTAATTATTTTGGAAAGAGGCCCAGCAGAGGGACAGCTGGGTCAA